AAAAGAATAGTGAATAAGTAAGAAAGAAAATAGAAAAAGAAAAAGAAAGTGTCTTCTGATCTTTTTGAGAGTGGTTATAAATGCATTTATGTTTTACCCTTTCTCTCTAAGGGTACATCATAATTTCCTTTCCGTAAGCTACCCTTTCTACTCCTCAAACCCATAAATCACAAGTTCATTTTTCTGTTTTTTCAGTAAAAAGTCCACAAGAGGTAGGAATTATTTCTCAGTGTAGTGGAACTTGAGTGGCTTTGTAGGGATTGCTGTAGAAGTCAGCCCTGGGCACTCAAAAATAAGAGTTATTTCTATATGCTGAGCAAGACACACTGAAGTATCTTAGTTTACAAGTAAGTATAAAATGGTCAAAGTCCTGATAAGACCTGTGAATTTGCAGGTCATAGCTTCCAGGACATCTTGAAGTTGTCAGTTTGGAGGGAAGGAAGGGATACAATAGAAGATAGGAAATTTGGTTTGAAATGGCATGTTCTCTGTGCATTAAATCTATCATTTTCCACACACAGTTTTGTTATGTGTGTTAGAGTATAGTGTTCACATGAGATTATTTCAAGTGAGAGTCAGCTATTAGAATTAGGGAGATAATAGCAAGAGAGACTACAGTTTTTCCATCAACAGTTTTGTACCTTCCCTGCCCATGAGTAACAAGCTTGGATACCTGTAGAAATGTCCTCTCTTTTTCCAGAAACAAAGATACAGGAAGAGTACATTTTGGTTACCTCTGGTCACTTCAGTGAGAAGTTCAGCAAAGTATGTGGTCGTAAAACCACGAGTGAGCACATTTGACAGATCCATTTCAGGGCTGAATACAACAGGAGACTTTGTGTCGATGGGGGAAAGTATGTGTGGAATTCTCTGTCCTTGGTTTATCCTTCCAATGGCACAGAAGAATTCTGTCAGCTGGAGAAATTCCCAAATATCTGGCTCGGAAACTATTTACATTGAAAGTGAATCCATATTGGCTCTTCCTAACGAAATGTGATTCTCATTTCTGAGAGTTGTGGGGAAGGAATTAGCAGCTTTGGTTAGGCTTAAAGAGATATAACTTACGGTATTGGCTGGGCCATGAGAGAGTGAATAGCCCAAAATCCTCCCAGTGAACTTCCATGACTTGAACTTGGGTCTAGTCCAACATTTACATTTGTTTGTACCTCAAGGGCAAACATTGACTTTCTTCAGCAGTGCGTGGGGTGTCTTCATCCATCTAGGCCAGTGCCCTAATTTCCCAGTGCATCTTTCTGACTCTCGAAATCATGAATGATGCTGAAGCCATGTGTCATCCTAGCATGTTGGCTTGGAAATCAATTCCTCCAGGTAGGGCATAGGACTTTCTCCATAGGAAAGTGTAGGTTGGATTCCAGCCTGAAAGTGGCTTGTTTTCCCCATGATTCTCCAAGTACCAACAGATCCACCGTGGGATCATAGCATTCTTAAAATCATGTCTGTCTTCACCCCAAATTTTCATTCTCTGCTTCCTAAGTCATCAGCATCAGAAGTGGTTCCTTTGTCCTCTAAGCTTAACAGACTTGTTTTCTATTTTCCACATAAAGAGGTCCATGTTCTTTATAGTTCCCTTTGTGTCTGCCAGCAGGAATGGTCCCACCTTGCCCCCATTTGGATCCAGAGCTGAAACTCTGGCAGCCAGGACACGATGAAGAGAATCGAGTGAACATCAGCCAAGGCCAAAAGCTTCTCTTATCTTCTTCTGCCACCGTTCACTCCATTGTCATCACAAACGGAGGTAAGTCTAGCTGGATGGAAAGCTATAACATCTGTGCTACATTCAGGCCCTTACCGGTGGTGCACAAGAGCTTACTTGTTTGCTTTACTGAAGATCTCCCCTTAATGAAAATCTGCTTAATATTCTTGAACAGTTTTAAAAAATTGCATTCATTTCTTGATTTTTTCATGAAACCCCCATTTACCTGGTGCTGGATCTCCATTTTTATTCTACTAAGCATTTAATGTACTGTTATTTAGGGCAATAGCTGAATCCTCCTCTTCCAGATTGACCCAGGATGATGGAATGTACTGGGTGTTTTGGGGCAATAACTTGGAATGATGCACCATTTGGGGACAATACATGACAGCCCTTGGGGACACCCACTCTATTTAAATCCCATTGCTGCTGGAGGAAAGTTTTAACTCCCATTCCATCCAGACAGGTATTAATACAAGTAATGAGAAACATACTCACTTCATCATTTGTTGCATTAGGTTTGGAATGAATGCAAAGTGAATCAAACCTGTTCCATTTTTAATTTGTTCTAAAACAAAAGCACATTCCTTACTCCCAGGATCTCAGCAAGCCCCTCTCTGGGATTATGGTTTGCTTGTGCCAGGTGTAAATAGTACGGTGCTTGCTTAGCTAATGATTGGATATGGTATAGAGAGCTTCAGTTATTTATACCGAGGGCCGGTTTGTATAAACAGAATCACACAGTAAGCATTTTGCTGGACTTCCTCACATGAGGGTTGCCCTTTATTTATGGGGAGACTTTATGTTGGAACACTGCTCCCCACTAAATTAAAAGACAGAAGCCATATATTGCAGATGTAAATATAGCATTGTCAAGATAAACAATGTTAAATTCAAGATGGATAAAACCAGCTTCAGTTAATATCAGGGTAGAAGTTCTGGGGAATGAGATTTCATCAGCTACCTTGTATGCAGCTAAGCTTGTTTAGTTGTCCCAGCTGGAGAAACTGCAAGTTTGATGACTGTGTTGCTTTTCCACTTCCTTTTTCAATGCCCGCCTAATCATTCACTGAGAGTCCATAATTACATGATGGGTAAAGGCACAGTCTGCTATAAAAAGGCACTGTACTGCAGGCTAGTGGTGCCAACAGACCTGGTCCATGTAAGTTCCTACTCTCTACTTGTCTTGTAGAAGAGGAGGGTGCAAAAACCTTTAGATTACGGGCCACATTTAGCCATTCAGTGGCACACTGGGGCATACCTCAAAAAGTGAGTAGGACTAAGACCCACACTCAACTTGGTTTAGTTTTAGTTTATTGTATAACCTCCCCCCCATTTATTATTTTCTTCTGGCAATTTGCAGAGGACTTCAGGAAGCTTCTCTCAAAAAATGAGATAAATAATAAATGAGATAAACAAATAGAATGATATAAAAAATAAACATAAAATTTATTGTTTTAATGGATTTTGTGAGCCACTGTGATGGAATGGACTTATGAAGGCCAGGCTCAGGGAGATAAGTGTGGGAGTTCCCCCAGCAGGAGCATGGGAAGTTCAAGAAGATGAGGCTGGCACCTCCCTAAGGAATTCACGGTGTTGTGGCTGGCTGGCTTAGGAACTAAGGTTCAGCCTGGGGAGATTTTCTGTCTGAGGTTGTAGCTAATAAACGCAACAGAACTGTATTTGCATTGCCTCTTTGAGTTCTTTGGGCTGAACCTGACAGCCACCCAGAGTCCCCCATTAGGGGGAGATGGGTGGAGATAAATTGGATGGATGGATGGATGGATGGATGGATGGATGGATGAAGAAGGTGGTCTAAATTGCATAGTGTGATCTGGGCTATGGAGAACCAGTAGACAAGGTTAAAACTGCCTTGGGTAGCTGCAAAGAGTTCTGGCATTTTCTGGCCTTACTGATTATGTGCCATCAAGTTGTTTTCGACTCCCAGTGACCACATAGATCAGTGTTGTCCAAACTTGGCCACTTTAAGAAGTCCACTCATGGCCAAGTTTGGACAACACTGACATAGATAGATTTTTTCCATAATGAGGAAGGCTACTCTGTAACCTGGTCTTTCAAGTCTCCCAATGGTGTACTCATCGCCACTGCAACTGAGTCCATCCACCTTGCTGCTGGTCATCCTCTTCTTCTCTTTCCTTCTACCTTTCCCAGCATTAGAGCCTTCTCCAGAGAGCTAGGTCTTCGCATAATGAAGTAGGATAATTTGAGCCTGGTCATTTATGCCTCAAATGAGAACTCTGCGCTGATTT